TGTTGGAGGCCTGAAATAAAGTTTGTTTAACGCAGACCTTTAGACATGAACTCTGAAGCTGCTGTTTGTCACAGAAAAACGTTTTGCTAAGAAGTGGCTAAATTAAATTACTCAGGTTTTTGGGGAAATTTAACATCATGCAAAACACACTAAGGATGCTTCATACATTTATAGCCCAACATTAGTGCTGAACTTATTATGATTAGTGTTGACATTTTGTAAAGATCATCTTGAACAAACCTGACAGACTTCAAGACTCTTTTGACACCAACAGATGAATAACTGAGAAACTTAAAGACAGGAGCGCTATAGCTGAGGGTTTCATATATAGTTTGAAAACAGGTGCTACAGGAATGTATGGGGGGATGTCAGAGACATGTCGAAGTTAGTAAAATAGAAGTCATGGAAACTGCAAGTGAGGTGACTACAGAAGTGTAAACCTCTTTCAGTTTAGCTTTCGTTACCAGAAGTCAAAGTATTTTGACTTATGTGGTGTTCTGACCTGGAGTAATGAACCCGTCTGAACATGCCGGCAGGTTTTGAACGGCTCTTGGACTCGATCACGTTTCATCCATCTAAAGGAAAAACACATTTGAGAGATGAACTGAATCCCCTGAAGCGTCACCGAGAGAGGAATGTGAGAAATGAAGCCTGGCAGGATGCTGAAGGGCAGTTTTGGTGTTAATGTGTGCGTGGGGGTGGGGGGTCAGATGTGATCGACTCCTCAGACAGAGACTTGTTTTCTTCTGGAAGAGTCCCTCGGCCTCAGCGGGTCACCGAATGGCTTCAGGGCCCCTCTGCTGTTTGAGTTTGTGTGTGTGGATACGCTGAGATGGCTGGTTCATAAGGGTCTCATTTTTATTCTTGGTAACAATAGTTTATGTGGACAAAAGAAAGAATTTAAAGTACACGGCATCTTTGTGACGTCTTTCTGTAATTTTCTGTTACGTTGTTTTTCAAATTTTAAAATGATGGAATATTCACTTCATTATTTATGTTTTTTCCAGCCTATTGAAACCACAAGCCAACTTTTTCCTCTTTTGGCATCCTATAAGCTACGGCTTTACCATTTCCCAGAAAGACCTTGTTTTGGAGTGGTGATTGTTTTAATGTGGTGAATATGCAAACTCTAGCTCGTCTCTAAAGCCGTTTTCACATGAAGTCAGCACTCCCTGAATGTTTTTAGGATTTTTAGGCTTTGGGCTTCATGTAATTCCAAAGTGTACGGTGAAGATAAGGTCTGAAGCAGTTAAAGCACCAGCTACACCTGTAGTGTAAACAGTTTTAATGCTTGACCAACATTTTTGAGCTTGTGAAATAAAAGTTCTTCTTTGTACTGCAAGTTTTGTTGTAGCCTTAAAGTTCTTGTTGATTAACCAGCAGAACCACATGTGAGAATGGAAACATTTTTACATTAGCTGGTCTTTAATGTGCCGGCTTGTTCTTGTGTGAAATGTGTTGAAGTCCAGTATTCACTCTTTTTTTTTTTAGCTCGTATATTGGTCGGTAATATCTTGAGCTTTTACTGCTAAATGTCTCATTATGTTCAGCTCTTTGTTTCCAGTAGAGGCCGTTGTTGGAAGAGAGGATGATAAAATGTGCTGTAATGCTCTGTATCCCGAAGTTCTGCAATAACTGAAATACTGCATTATTTCACCTCGTGTGTCATTGCTAAAGGTTACTGAAATATCTGGGAAATGCCCCGTTCATGCGTGTTGCTGAAAATACTTTGTGGTTTGGTTGTTTGGAGAAAAGGCTGAGACAGCAGAGGGTTTGGCTGCTCTGCATTTTCCATCCCAAAGCCAACTAGACTTAAAGTCAGATGGAGTAATACCTCACTGATGAATTTATAGCAGTTAAATAAAAGCGATTACCAACAGAGTCCAGCAGTGAGGACAGTTTTCTACTTCAGAATCTGATAGTTGTCTTCTGAAAGATGCCCAGACCTCCCTGCAGTGATGGGTCATTATTTTGAGCACATCTCCCTTGGTGATCCTGCAGGCTGCAACTCCCTGCAGAGCAGTGATAATTGGAGGTCTGCCCTAAATTAACCTCTCTGTCTCGTGCTTTTCACAACTGGACCATCGTGTGGCCTTAAACAGTTGGCACTACTGACCGACTGTAGAAAGCTGCTTAGAAGAATGGCCTCTTTGTCGAAATGCTGAAGAGATTTGAGCCTGTTGCATGGTTGAAACTCTAGATTTGTTCCTTCTGCGTTTACTTTTCTATTTGGATTTCATTTTTATTACAAATAATTCCAGAAGACTAATTGGAGGTGAAAAAAGTTAATAAATATAATATTTTAATACAGAAATGGTCAAAAATAGTATATGGTTAATAGGAGAACCTTTTAATGGATTAGTCCTGCAGGCACGGACCGCTTTGGACCCAATGGGTTGGATGAAATGTCCTTTCTTTCTGATACTGCTATCAAAGTTGTGACTTCTGCATGATGTTCAGACTCAAGTTTGTGGTCTGACCATGAAGGCCAAATCAATTTTAAGGAAAGATACTTTACCAAAGAACACGGATGAGAAATTGTGGCTTTCCAACAAGCAGAAGTCATGACATCACACGTTACATGTTTCAGCGTTCAAATGTCCGCTTAGTCTTCGTCTCTCTTCGCTATAGCAGACAGGTGTGTCTCCGGCTTATTTGCATGCATAAATTCACATTCTGAACAACAAATCTCCACGAGAAGCCTTTGTGGTGGTTGAGGCCTGATGTCCTTAACTACAGTGTAAACATGCATCAGATCTCAACAAACTGAGTCTGTTTGGATTTTGGACAGTTAGTTCAACCAAATAATAATAATAATAATAATAATAATAATAATAATAATAATAATAATAATAATGAAATAAATGGATGGTGGGTTGATCTGCACACCAATCCTTTAAGGATTTGATTAGCTTGAGTTCTTCAGAGTTAAATGTAGTGTTTGATCAGGCTTTTAAGGCTGTCTGATGATGGAAACCACCAACTTATACATTTATGCAAAAAGTGAACTTAATTTGCCCTCCAAACTGAATCACGAGCAAGATAGAAAGTTGGCTTTTATCTCAGTAATAGTTTTATGAAACACACAGCAGACTGAACATAAGGTGGAAGTAATACAAGTTTAGAAAACTTTGGTAATTAAATGACAGACTGAGTTTCATAATGGTTTGAAAATGCAGTGGGGTATTTAACAGCTATCACTAGTTTTGACGAGACGTTGCAGGACGAGAGTTTAGTCTCGAAAAGCTGTTCGGCCTTGTCCTCAGACACATGATAAGAAGACATCTACTGATGGCTGCCCTTGTCCAGCTCCAGATTTCATGTAGTCTACAGGCTCAGGGTCAGGTTTATCACAGCGAGCCTTGAATTATAAGCTGTGAGGAATTACAATACTTTTACATGAAACCTTCCAGTTAAATGCTGCCACCTGCAAAATAATAGCAGCTTAATGGAGGTGTATTTTCAGCTGGAGGTCTAAAACAAATCTAAGGTTTTCATTTGTTTCTTTGTAGTTTTTCTTTTGATTCACAAAAAAACTAAAGATCCATCTTGTTCTGTATTCTTGTGCACTTTCTCTTTATGCAAAATAAAAGCACCTGTTTTCAAAAGAAGCAGGGATATCTGACCACTGTGACATTTCTTAAACCCTTCAAGAGATTCTCGCCTTGACAGCCATCTCAAAATGTCTCAAGGCATTTAAAAAAACATTTTTAAAGGAGGTATTTTGAAACATTATCTATATTGACCTTTCAATGGAGCATAGAGACTGCATGCACTGAATCAGTTCTGATAAATGGCTTGCAGCTTTGTCCCTAAATAAAATGTAAACTGCTTTTTCCCCTGGGAGGTAGATTTCTACCATCATCTTAGCTCTTGTGTAATTCACTCATAGATTTTCAGTGTGCTGTGTCTCTCTCATAGTCTGTGCCTCTGGTATTCCTACTTCTCTACCGCTTTCTGAAGTTGTATCTTGCATGCATTGTGTCCTGTCTTCAGTAGAATTCATAATCAGTGGGTTTTTGACACCTTTAACCTTTAACATGTGGAAATTCTACATCAAATATATTGTGTTTGTCTGTAACCACCAAACTTTGCATCCCATCCTTTGAGTAACATAAGATCAAAGTTGTCAGACAGAATACTATTCATTGTAAAAGCATACAGTTATTATGGTTTACTTTTTACATCCATAATATCTGCAATTTGTAGAAAAAGAAGTTGTGTTAAGCTGGACACATCGATATTTCCTGTCATGGTTCAGTCATTTTTCTCAGCTGTTTTCTGTTACGCTTCATCATGACTGAGACATGAAACTATGCACCACAACAATGTTTGCTATGTGTTCTTGGAATTTCATGTTTTTTCTCATTCTAGTTTATCCCTGATAAGCGCACGTGAATGCAATTTAATTCTAGAACTTTAATTATGTTGAGTTTCAAAGTAAAAGGGGGAAATGCCGTCGGCTTTGTTCGATACATCTGGGTTTTCAGAAGTCTGAGCTTTTTAACATTTCTCAGAAACTGCTGTGGTCTGGTGCTCTTGCCTTTATCTGTTCTCGTCTGGCTCATTCTCTCACAAAAGAGCCAAACCGAATGAAATTCAAATCTAAAAATACACTTGTAAAACTTGTGGTAGAAAACTGGCAGCCTGATGTCCACATCTGGCCTTAAACCAGAAACTAAATGACCTGTGACCAGATCAGACTTTAAGAGGAAGTTGACATGGACCAATTCTGCTATAAAACAGCATCTCAGGAAACTGCTCTGCTGTAGGGATAAATGATTTCCTGTGATTTTTAACATGATTGCCTCTTAGGGGATATATTGCCCCTGAAGTTGGGGAAATAAAGTCTGAGTAAGATGAGGGTTGATTTTATTAATTCTACTTCAAAGATTTCCTGCAGTAGTTCTTTGATCCTCTGCTTTTAGAATGTCAATGTGGATTCATGTGATTATCATTTACGTAGTTTACATATGGACTTTTTCCATTTTCTGACCCAGGTGTACACCTACAAGCAGAATACGCTCACCAGGCAGAAAGTGCAACCCATGCACCGTAGCAGCATCAGAGGGGTGGAGGACATGGCGAGCCTTGAGGACCTTCACGAGGGCGCCATCATGCACAACCTGTACCTGCGCTATAAACAGAAGTACATCTATGTAAGTTTCCTCCAAGCAATACTTGATGAGAACAACACAGTGATTGATTTTTTTTTTTCTCCCTGGTGAAAATCCTACATATTAATATGAAGACTGACCATGAATTGAAGCTCAGCTGATCTGCACAACAGCTGACGGTTCCACTAATGCCCTTCAATGCAAGTCTTATTACCCTCACCTAGCATAATCTGTGCAGGGGGTCTGGCTGCTTCTGGGATTCCAAGAGTGCGAAGGAGTTCTCTCCACATCCACATCAGCATGCTAAAGGGCAGGGAGGTTTTAAGCACACAGCTATTCCATCCAATAAAAATTACCACGGATGGAAATAATAATCTTCTTTTGAGTATGGTGGTCCTGACTGAACTTCAACAGTTCATCAACATGTGGTTTACTTGCTAAATATTGCTGAATTTGCAGTTTCAGTCCCTGGGATAACTCGGCAGAAGTAATATGAGGCAGGTTACAAAAAAAAACAAAATCTGAACCCCTAGCATCAAAAACCCGAACCAATCTGAAGTCTATCAGCGCTATCAGTGCTTGCGTTGACAGCTTGGTTTGTCAAGGTACATTACCTTCATCCATCAGCTCTGCAGCATTCTCCCATGAATATCTTGAGTTGCTCAAACATTGCACAACAGCAGGGATAACCATCTAGAAACGAGCAGGTGAAAGAGATGGTTGGGTCAGAGAGCTTTCCTCTGCTTTAAATCAGTGCCAGGAAATGGGGACGTGAGAGAGCTATTGTGTCTTTCTGGAGCTTCTTACTGGTCTGTACATGACTGTAGGATTAATTGACAGTGCAATCAAAGCATATCCCTACATGGATCTTTGGCTCCTCTGGGATATCCTGTCAGAAAAAGTTTGGCTTTCCGGCTCAGATTTATTACAAACGGGACTCAGTTTTCAGGTTTACACAGTGTGAAGCTGATTCAAAGGTTTGGTTATTTAACTTCCAAGAAACACATGTAGAGACCTAGCAGGGTATCGATGAGGGGTTTCCCAAAACACAAACCTGCAGGACAGCTTCTTGATTTAGTTCCTAATGTTCACTGTAAATACAACATAGATTAAAGTGATATTTTTGGTGGATTATACATAGACTTTTTGCAAACACTTTTATGGCTTAAAAACCTAATATAGTATAGTATAAATAGAATTTTGGGGTTGATTCTGATTTTCTTCTTTCTATGTCAGCTGTAGGTGGATTTGCTCAAATTCACTAAAGTCAGCTTCTGGTTTTAGTCACTTCCTTAAAACATATATATGAAAAAGCATTTCAAGAATAATAAATCATAGTAGTGGCAGTGCTTATTATTTTAACCCTTTCACACATAGTGGCCACTGCAGTGGGCAGCTAGTCAAAGGCTGTTTTTTGTATTTGTGTCAGTGTTGATGGCACACTTGCACATAAACCACTACATTGGACACCGATGTGTCCCTCCATACCCTGCCACCCACTGGCTGTTTCATGTTACTATAGATGTATGATGTGTGTCATTGTAATTATTGTTATTTAACCCGTTCATTAAGTATTTTTATTCGTCTCTAGGCATGAAAAGATGAATAAAAATACTTAAGCCAAAAATCCTGATTGAGGTTGTCATAATTCATGCATGACAGTGTTAAAGAATGGCCTAATTATAAAATGTTAAAAGAATGTAAAATAGCTGCATAAATGTAACCATAAACAAATTGCTGTTTGCTACTTAAAAGGGTCTGTTTTTACTTTTTAAAATGCTTTGTAAAACCACATGAACACCTGCCATTGTTCTCTGTGTAAGAGCACACATGTCCCATTTCCCAGCACAGACACACACCAGTGCCCTTAAAAAAGCTGTCTCACATTCCCTCAGACATTGGCTCATCCGTGCTGGCACCTAAGCCGCACCCTAACCGCTGCCCAAATGCAGTGCAAGCTTAGGGGAGGATTTTCTTTCTTTTTGAGCTTTGGCTGGTTTGTACAAGAAATCGCTGCTTTTTGTCCTTTAAAGATTTACACTGTGAGTTACTATCTTGTTAGCCAGGTCTGAAGACTTCTCTTCTAAGATCTTTGGCACTTCGAAATGGTTTTTCACAGCTTCAAGTTGTATTTTTCCCCTTTTTCTTAGGAAAGGATTTGTGTCTCTGTCTATATAACATAGTGCATCACATCAGCCTTAACATTCTTAATCTGAACCCTTACCTCAAAAGTTGCTGCCTGCTGTTTTGTTTTTTTTGCATTCAATTTAAGGGAGTTTATTTTATAATGCAGGGCTGGGGTTACACAGTTGGACAGTTTTAACCCTGTTAAACAGTCCAAACACTAAGTTAACTATTTTGCTTGGATCGTTTTATTCTCCCAGAAATGGCGGCCTTGTGACGCCTTTGCAGAGTATTTATGCAGGTGGTTGAATTCTTAAACATTACTGCACTGTGACCAAAGAGCTTCAGATGAATTTAGCCTTGTTATTTGTCCTGTGGTTAGTGTGGTTATTTGCATAAACTTTTACTGTTCCACTCTGTTTTTGAGAGGTTTAAAGTATTGTTGTGCTTGTTTCTGGTGTTTCCATGTTTGCGCTATTGACCAGGCGATGAAAAGCACCAAACCAAATAAGGTGAAGGATTTTGAGTCCCTTTCAATCAGACGTTTGTTAGAAACTGGACGCCACGTAATGGTGGTCCTTGTTTGGCAGCCAAAAACAGAAAAGTGCCAAGTGAGAGGGAACACAATTAGAGTTGGCTGGCTTAATCTCCTGAGTTGTGAGAAAGAACAGTTGAGATGCTAAAGGGACCAAAAGAAGGTGATTTTCTTGGTTAATCCAAGTTAATAAGTCTCATCGTGCTAGTTAGTGCTGGTGTGAACAGTAGTAGCTGTAACCAGGAGTGTTGATGACAGGATGTTACCATAATGTTGATTACTCCTCCTTGAACACATGATATCTGCATTGTGTTATTGTCCTTACAACGTTTTAGGTGTATGCATTGTCCTGCATCGCACAGTGAGCTAGCAAACAAGCAGCTCTGTTGCTGCCCATCCTAGTTAAAGTAAAGAAACCTTTCAAACCCTCCTGCTCCGGTGAAACGCAAAGGAATATGTGGGACAAATGGCTCTCAACCATTTTGTGCTTATGGTTTAAAGAACAAACCTGAGCCAGCACTTTCTCCAGCGAAACAAGCTGTCAACAAAGGCGGCATTGTGCTCGCTGTACGCAACAGTCGTGCTAACCTTTGACAAATGCCATCTTGTTACTTTAATCACATCTGAATGCTCCCGTATGGTCGAAATTATCCAATCAATTCATCACAGCCACCCAATCTCTGGCCTGACATTTTTTTTCTTTGGGCCAGAAGCTGGAAAGAGGGGAAAATTAGAGGGAATGTTTTAATGGAGAGGGTCATGGTTAACCAAAGGGAAGAGCTATAAACACAATACTGAAGTCAGAGTAGCCAACAACAGTTTCTGCTGCATCAAGGATCAAATATGAAACTGGTCAAACCCCAGTTTAAGGGGTTCAGAGTGATTTAGAGGGGTCTGTTACTACCACCACTACTCATCCTCTTCTTTGCTTTCCTCTGGCTTCTTCTTCTCTTTCTTTTTTTTTCTTCAGTTGTTATAATAAAATTTATTTATTGCAAAGGAGCCATATGTAGAGTTTAGATTCCAGGAAAAGTACATGCAGTGAAAAACACAAGCAGAACAAGGTGATGCATAAATTCAGCATATGAATAAAGAGCCTTGGTGGATTTTCTCAGCGGCCCTGTAGCCAAAATATCTTTTAAGCTCCATATTTTGAATTACATTTACAGGATAATGAAGCAGATTTCAAGGCTTGTTCTTCTCGCTGTAAAGGGCTTTGGATAAAACGTAAACTTTGGTGGTGAAGCTTGAAGAACATTACAAAACTCTGTTTTGTTGGTAATCCAAACAGCACAATAAATCTGAAAGCATTCCAGCTGGACAAATCACACAAGTCCTTGTCAAACATCCATTAAAAAGCCACGCTTGGATGTGGACACAGAGAACATGGAAAGAACACAATACAGTGGGGGAATTTGTGGTTTTGATAGATTTTTCATGAGTACAAACCTGCTGCAATCACATAATTAAATGGCCACAATGAATAAATCTCTGGCCTCAAAGAAAGTTGTATGGTAATGACGATGATGGGGTAGAGGTAGATGTTTCTATCTATCAATATGTTTCTTAAGATTTACCTTTTAAGAAGTGCACACTCAGAACAAAGCAAGCAAAATCTCAATTATAGTTTATACTTTTTGGGGCCACATGTTGATTTTTGATGGTGTAAAAATCCAGAAGTGATTATTTTGAGCTTTTTCTGGTTGGTTTGACAAAAAAATATTTTTGTTTCAGCTAAACTGCATCAGAGCTGCTAGCAGCACCATTACATAGACAGGGGATTCGTCTGTAGGCTACCAGACCTGTGTGTGTGTGTGTGTGTGTGTGTGTGTGTGT